GGCCCCCGGAAACCGCGCCCGGCGTCAAGAGCGCCTACGACGGAGGGGCCGCGCTGCAGGGTCGGGGCTGAAACCAAGCAGCGCCGTCGGGACTCACTGGGACACACCGACTGCTTGCTGAAAACGAGGCACTGGTCGCGTGGAAATGACATGTCGTTAAGGCATAAATGAAGTCCAGGCCCCGGATGGACCATGGGCGACGAGGCCCAGCGCTGCCCGGATCCTGATTTTGAATTAGGGGTTTCATCTCCTTTTCTCCTAAAGCAACCTCCAGAGCCCTGGCGGGAACCAGAGCCCTTTGCGTTGACCCAGCACACAATAACCACATAAGAACAACTAACGGAATGAAAAACATGCTTTATTATGGAAAATAAACATCCAAAGATCCTCCTTGCCCCACTGGGGCTCTCACCATCACCAGCCGCCACCTCCTTTCTCCACACCCCTGTCCCCTCCTTGGACTATTTTTAACAGTGGGGACCCACTGGGACCCCCACCGTTGATGTGAATGAAGACATTTGAAACCCAACAGATGCAGAGAAAGGTTCTGTCAGAGCTTTCCTTAACTGACTAAAGGTAGACGCTGCTGAGTCAAGTCAGGAAGTTAACAAGGAAACCCTGAGTAAGACAGCCACAGTGGGCCGTGGTAGGCTTCCAGATGTCCCTGGAATTTAGCAAAGCTGTGCATATGCTAAGGAAAGACAAGAGAGGGCCCCAGCTATGTACTCCTCTGGCTGAATGTGAGGCTTTGTACAAGCAAGAAAGTAAAAGCCAAGGCCAAATTGTAAGCAGCCTGAATTTTTCTTTTTTTATTTATTTTATTTTTATTTTTATTTTTTGAGTTGGAGTCCCACTCGGTCACCCAGACTGGAGTGCAGTGGCCGCTCCCGGCCACCGCAGCCTCACCTGCTGGGCTCCGGAGATCCTTCTGCCTCAGCCTTCTGAGTAGCCGGAATTACAGGCATGCGCTACCACACCCGGCTGCTTTTTTGATTTATTGTAGAGATGAAGTCTTGCTGCCCAGGCGGGTAGACTGTGGTGAGCTGTAATTGTGCCACTGCACTCCAACCTGGGCAATGGACTGAGACCTCGACTTTAAAAAAACAAAAGAGGCCGGGTGTGGTGGCTCATCCCTCTAATCCCAGCACTTTGGGAGGGATTGCTTGAGTCCTTGAGTTCGAGACCAACCTGGACAACTTGGCGAGACCTCATCTCTACAATAAATCAAAAAATCAGCCGGGCGTGGTAGCGCATGGCTGTTATTCCAGCTACTTGGAAGGCTGAGGCAGAAGGGTCACCGGAGCCCAGCAGGTGGAGGCTGCGGTGGCCGGAAGGGGCCACTGCACTGCAGTATGGCTGACAGAGTGAGACTCCAACTCAAAAAATAAAATAAAATAAAAAATAAAAAAAATTGACCAGGTGTGGTGGCTCAAGCTTGCAATCCCAGCAGTTTGGGAGGCCAAGGTGAGAGGATTGCCTTAGCCCACAGGTTCGAGAACAGCCTGGGCAACTTGACAAGACCTCATCTCTATAATAAATAAAATAAATAAAGAAAAAAGAATAATGAAAAATAAACAGAGCCTCAGAGACCCATAGAATACCATAAATATATCAACATATATATAAAAGCATATACATATACAGAGGAAAGGAAAGAGAAAAAGAAACAGAAACAAATATTTGAAAAGCCTTTAGTTCCGGTTACTTGGAAGGCTGAGGTGGAAGGATCACCTGAGCCCAGCAGGTTGACACTGGGGTGGCCGTGAGTGTGCCACTACACTCCAGCCTGGGTGACGGAGTGAGATTCCCACTCAAAAAATAAATAATAAAATAAAATAAAACAATTAATGGACATGGGGATGCATGCCTATAGTCCCAACTATTCACGAGACTGAGGTGGAAGAGACATGTAACATCTAACAAAAAAATTCAAGGCTACAGTGAGTTATGATCATGCCACTGCATTCCAGCCTGGGCCACATATTAAGACTTTGTCTCAAGAAAAAAAGTTATAATAACATATAGAGACAATAAATTATATAAAGACATATAATTATATGAAAATAATATAGCACAAAGGAGGGTAGAGGGAATGAAGTTATAACCAAGTTTCTATATTTTACTAGAATTAAGTTAGTATTAATCTAAGGAAGATTGTGGCTCACGCCTGTAATCCCAGTACTTTGGGAGGCGGAGGCAAGAGGATTGCCTGAGTTCAGGAGTTCAGTACCATCCTGGCCAACTTGGTGAGACCTCATCTCTACAATAAATCAAAAAATTAACTGGGCATGGTGGCACACGCCTGTGGTTCCAGCTACTTGGAAGGCCCAGGTGGAAGGATTGCCTGAGCCCAGCAGGTCAAGACTTGAGCGTGCCACTACACTCCAGCCTGGGCAAGAGAGTGAGACTCCGACTCAAAAAAACAAAATCGAAAGAGGACTGTAATAAATTAGTATGCATATTGTATTCCTCAAGAGGATTACCTGAGCCCAGGGGATCCAGACCAGCCTGGGCAGCTTGACAAGACCTCATCTCTCAATAAAATAAAAAATAGCCAGGTGTGATGGCACAAACCTGAGGTTCCGGCTACTTCGAAGACTAAGACAGAAGGATCACCTGAGCCTATAGGTCAAGGCTGCAGTGTCCATAATCAAGCCCTGCACTCCAGCGTAGGCGACATAGTAAGACTCTAACTTAAAAATATAAAATAAAAAATAAAGGTAGCCATTGCCTTACTAGACTCTGGTGTGGCCATGTGCTCTCTTGAGCTATGACTGTTGCCATGTTTCCTGGCTTTGGCCCCCTTCCCTACCTTGGGAAGGTGAATCTCCTCTCTCTCTCTCTCTCTCTCTCTCTCTCTCTCTCTCTCTCTTTCTCTCTCTCTCTTTCTCATATTTACTTTCTAAATAAACTATATTTTCCAATCTAATAAATAAATACATAAGTAAAAAATAAAAATAGAGGGAGAGGCTGGACATGGTGGCTCAGCCTGTAATCCCAGCACTTTGGGAGGCTGAGGCGAGAGGAATGTGTGAGTTCATGAGTTCAAGACCAGCCTGGGCAACTTGGTGAGCCCTCATCTCTACGATAAATAAAAAAATAAGCTGGGCGTGGTAGCTTGTGCCTGTAGTTCCAGCTACTTGGAAGGTTGAGGTGGAAGGATCGCCGGAACCCAGCAGGTAAGTCTGGAGTAGCCGTGCACGTGCCACTGCTCTCCAGCCTGGGCGACAGAGTGAGACTCCAACTTAAAACAACAAAATAAAATAATATAAAGTTTGGTGGTTTTTTTTGAGTTGGAATCTCACTCTGTCGCCCAGACTGGAGTGCAGTGGCCACTCCCGGCCACCGCAGCCTCGGCCTGCTGGGCTCCGGCGATCCTTCTGCCTCAGCCTTCCGAGTAGCTGGAATTACAGGCATGCACCACCACGCCCGGCTGATTTTTTGATTTATTGTAGAGATGAGGTCTCGCTGCCCAGGCGGGTCTCGAACCCGCGGGCTCAGGCAATTCACTCACCTCAGCCTCCCAAAGGCGCAGGATTACAGGCTGAGCCACCGAGCCCAGCTACAGTTTTTTTTAAATTGGAGTCTCACTCTGTTGCCCAGGCTGGAGGACAGTGGCACCGCCCTG